TCTTCCTAATTTATCCATTAATATTGCTCCAACTACAGTTATCGGGACCTAAAACATGATATCAGCACAAATTTAGACAAAGATTTAACCAACTAGGACGGGTTTGGCAGCATAAACTCAAGGCTTTGAATTGGAATTCAACCAAACCCAATCTGATGCTACTAAATTCGGCTGGAGATAATTCAACAAACCTGAATTATAGCATAAGCAATTGTTCCAAATTTCCCTGAAGAAAATCCGGCAGCCACAAACGTTTCACTTGCATAGAAACCGATTCCATTTATTCCTCCAAACTGTTGGAACACCATTAATCCAACACCAATCTGAACAGGAGAAGAATGGACCCAAATAAGTACTTGTAAACAATATGGTAAAGCTAATTAAGAACAACAGAAGAGTTACTTACAATGACAGCACGGGTGTATTTCCCATTAAACAAATCGAAGAGTCTAGCGTTAGGAAGATATTGTAGGGTATCAATACTAGCCTGTCAGCATAAAATTTATCATAATCAGCAGTAGAAAAGAATTTTATATTTTCGGAATATGTGGATGGTAAAATATACTTGAATATCAGCAGATTCTTGAGAAACATCAGCATCTCTGCCACGAAGTTTACGTAATGCCAATTCAAATTCTTTCTGAAGTCCCATTTTTGCCTGAAAATTCCAATCTTTGTTTAATATAACACAATTATCTCATTAGTAAAGATTACTAAATAATCAAAATCTCGGTAAAGCTCACCAGCCATCGGGGAGACTCCGGGATAAAGAACAGTCCCACAAGTAGGAAAACGCAAGGAAGAATTCCTTCATATAAAAAATCCCGAGTCAGTTTCAGAAAATTGTTCCACTGTTCGTGCACAATGTGCATATTAGATTCACAGAACTGGATAGGACTAGACAAAGCTTTTTCTGTACAATGCTATCAAAATCTCCCGAGCAGAATTTTGATCTCACCGGTAAGAGCCAAAGTTCGCCATGTTATGACTGTTCCAAGCAAGTATGCAGTCGATGCACCACAAACAATCATGAGCTGCAGAACAAACATATCAGAATTGGAGTCAAATTCAAAACAGAGATTATTTTTACATTTCATCAAACACAACGTACACATGCAGCCTATTGTTCTGGTACCTGATTAAGCGTCGCAAGTCCTCCACGAAGATTCTTTGGTGCTATTTCAGCTATAAATATTGGCACCTGTTTGTGTAATTAATTATTGGAGAAGATTAATAATCATGAATTAAGCTAGACTTTTAACTTATGCACAAAAAATCTGATTAATTTTGAATAAGTACCACAAANAAAAAATCTGATTAATTTTGAATAAGTACCACAAAAGAGAAAATTCCTATGCCATATCCTGTAGAAAATCTCCCTATGTCAAGTGACCAAGCTTCCTGCATATATCAAACAACAAATGATCCCATTTACAATTATTTGTTTATTAGTTACAGCCAAAAGGAAAAAAGGATAATTGGTTGGTAACCTGACAGCGCCGTCCCTAATTTCTAACTTTCTAGGAAGTTAAGCTAACAAGGAATGTTACCCTTACATGTTACATTAACATTTTAGAGATAAAAGTGGATGGAGCGTCCGTTAACTTGCTACAAACTTGTTAAGTCGTGAATAGGTTGAGAACCAAGACTACAACTTAAGAAAAAAAAATGCTGCAGAAGAAATTCATATGTACCTTGGAGAAATAGACTAAAAGCCAACCTATAATGCAGAAAGCAGATGAAGTTCTCATTGCCTGTACCATGACCAAATTAAACAAAAGCTTTAATATCTTAAAAATATTTATTTTTCAAGAAAATTTGATTAAACATACCCCTTTTCTACCAATGAGATCAGCAATTTTTCCACTTGTTATTGCACCAATCATAGCTCCAATTGTTATTATAGATCCAAACATAGAGTACTGCAACACATTGCTATATGAGTTTTCACATTATGTAACATCGGTTTATTCGACTGGACGATATTGTCCAGTCCAGCGTACGAAATATGTCACAATATCACGAACCTCGGCTAGTGATAACTTTAAGTCTTGTCTGATAGCAGATTGAGTGGGTGCTGAGTAGCCCACCTGCAAAAGAAATTAACTTAAGCTAAAGATTTTCCTACTTATTTTTGGTGGTCCTGACCAAGAAAAAAAAGGCAAAAAAAAGAAACTTGTTAATACAAGCTCTTTTCTTGAAAAGGCCTGGATTGTGTATAAATATATAGACACTGCAGATGAACACACATATATGCATTTACTTACACATGATCCAAATTCAAAAGAGCCACAAACAGCTACAAAAGTACTTAAAAGCACCACCCAAATTGAGCCATTTTTTTCACTTATGAAGTGTAGTAGAGGAAGTCTTAGGTGTGTGAACCGAACAACTTAATTACCGAAAACGTCTGGTAGTTCTGCGAAAAGTTACGGTAAAAGATATAGGAACATAACTAGTTATCGGTAGAGAGAGAGAGAGAGAGAGAGAGAGAGAGAGAGAGATACATACATAGACATAGGACTTGATTGTCTATATGCTCCTCATGTGTCTCATGTCTGAGTTCAAACTACTTACGTATACATTTTTCAGCTCTATATATATATATATATGTATGTATGGGCGTTAAACGCAGCTAGATATTTCACCAGATATGTCTTGTATCAATAATTAGAGTACTAAAATAAGCTGTTTAGCAGTAAGTTTAGAATTCATGTGAAAATAGGGCTGTCACTGACGTGTGATCCTGTCAGCCCACGATATACAAACCATATGCAAACTGGAAAAGTTAGGTGCGCAAAATGTTTTTTTTTCCCTCCGAAGTTTTGATCATTGACAGCAAGAAATGAGTAATCAAATCCCATATTTTGAAAAGAATTAAGAATTGTGGTCTGTGGATCGAATTACAAAATAAAGTATATTAGTTACAATATTTTTGAAAAATAAGAGACATCTTTATTAAATTAATTATAAACAAATTCATATATTTTTCTTGACCATAATGTATTAATTTATCAAGATTCAATTGTTACTTTTTTTTTTTAATTTAGAAAGGAAACAAAATAGATAAATTATCAGCGAATCATCCGTGGATGAGCAACTCCGACAATATCTCCAAAGAGAAGAAGACTTGCGCTTGATGGGGGGTCATCTTACCAAATGAAACGATCATCCTGATCAAAAGCCAAGTTGGCCATATGGTCAGCAATAGAATTAGCTTCCCTGTAAACATGAAGAATTTGAACTTGCCAATCTTGATGAAGGAGCATTCAAACCCGAGATATGAGATCCCCATTCTGAATAGACCTCAAACAGGATCAAACCCGCTTTGAGTCTTCTGGTGGATAATATGCAAGCTAGTTTCATCCCTGTCAGGCAAATTACTGACAATGATGTTGTTGTGCAAGAGGTAGCCCATTCTATGCGCACAAAGCAAGGAAAGAAGGGTTGGGTCATGATCAAAATAGACTTCGAAAAAGCCTATGATAGACTCAGATGGAGCTTTATTAAAGATACTTTGATTGACATAGGTTTCCCTCATGCTCTCATTTCGATTTTATTTAAATGTTGGGAAACTAGTTCGACAAAAATCTTTTTTAACAATCAGTCATCTGATAGCTTCAAACCTTCGAGAGGAGTTTGTCAGGGAGATCCTTTGTCTCCTTACATTTTTGTTCTTTGTATGGAAAAACTTACTCAGGGCATTAAGCAAGCGGTGGAGAATGGTGTTTGGAAGCCTATAAAACTGGGAAGACAAGGATGCCCGCTGACCCATCTTTTCTTCGCAAATGATCTTATTATTTTTGTAGAAGTGGTGGAGGAACAGATTGATAAAACTTTGTGGGTTTTACAAGAGTTTTGTGATTGTTCCGGGATGAAGATTAACAGTTCCAAAACCTCCTNGTGGAGAATGGTGTTTGGAAGCCTATAAAACTGGGAAGACAAGGATGCCCGCTGACCCATCTTTTCTTCGCAAATGATCTTATTATTTTTGTAGAAGTGGTGGAGGAACAGATTGATAAAACTTTGGGGGTTTTACAAGAGTTTTGTGATTGTTCCCGGATGAAGATTAACAGTTCCAAAACCTCCTTCTGTGTTTCGAAAAACGTTAACAGGCACACAATTGAGGATATCAAGAGGATTTCCGGTTTTAATTTTTCTGATGATTTGGGTTTATATCTAGGGATACCGGTTCTGCATGGTCGCAATGGGCGTAAATATTATACTTAGAGGAGAAAGTGCGGAAAAACTCAATTCTTGGAAGGCTAGAACTCTCTCCTTTGCGGGTAGAGTTACTGTGGTTAATTCTGTCCTCATGGCTCTCTCGGCTTATGTTATGCAAGTGGCGGTCATTCCAGTTACTGTATGTGACAAAATTAATACTATGTGCAGAAATTTTATTTGGGGAGCTAATGGCAATGAGAGAACTATGCATCTGGTTTGTTGGGATACAGTGTGTCGGCCTAAGGAGAGTGGGGGGTTAGGCTTGAAGAATTTAAGGGTGCTAAATCAAGCATTCCTAGCCAAATTAACTTGGAGATTTGTCACTGAACATCAAGCTCTTTGGGTGTGTGTCCTGAGAGGGAAATACGGTTCGAACAATGTCGATTATTTCCCTTTCAAATTTCGTTCTCAATGTTCTTCTATTTGGCGTGCTATGAATAGTATGTGGCCTTTTATTTCGGGAAATTCTAGCTGGAGTATTGGTAATGGTAGGCGTGTGTCCTTTTGTTTGATAATTGGTTAGGCACGGAACCTTTGATCAACCAAATTACATGGCCTATACCAAGTAGTTCTCATGAGTGGCACGCGAAAGATGTTTTGAGTGGGGATGCCTGGGATTTTAGACTTTTGTCAGATTTTTTACCAGATGAGGTTTTGGACGATCTAAATTTGTGTTGTCTTCCTATAGATGAGTTGGAGGATGGTATCCGAATCTGGAATCTTGCTGGCAATGGCCAATTTTCTTTGGCTTCGGCTTATTTGGCTCTTTTGGACCTGGGATTTAGTAATGACCATGGTTATTGGGATCTGGTCTGGCAATGGCAAGGCCCTTAGCGGATCTGGGCATTTCTTTGGCTTTGCATGCACAATAAACTTCTCACGAATTATGATCGCAATAGACGGCATTTAACAGATGACCCAAGCTGCCCTGTTTGTCACAATGGCGTGGAAACCATCTCTCATGTGTTACGGGATTGCTTGATAGCCAAGGCCTTATGGTTGAAGCTCCTACCGCTCTCGGATAATGTCAGGTTCTTTGATTTGAACTTTAATGATTGGATGGTCAGTAACTTGCGGAATGGTTCTACAACTCGGGAAAATCTTGATTGGAGGTTGCACTTTGGGTTTACCTGTTGGCACATTTGGACATGGCGGAACAAGTTGATTTTTAATAACGCTCGGGTAGATGGTTCCTCGAAGCCTAACATCATCCTCCATGCAATTGTTACTTTAAATAACTAACCAATCTCTCTCTCTCTCTCTCTCTCTCTCTCTCTCTCTCACTCTCTCTCTCGTTTTTTTGGCTATGAATTAGATATTAATTATTGAATGACTATTGTAAATATCTCTCGAGCCCTAATTATCCGAAGTTCTAGTTTTTACCTTATTGAGTCTCTCGTTTAATAGTAAATTCTTTCAATAATGTGCATCAAGAAACAAGCAATCAAATACCATATGCTAGAAACGAGTGAGCCCTTTTTCTTGACTCTTTAATCATAACTGGACCATTTTTTATTTTTAATTTTTTTATAATTAATTATTAATAAATTAAATAATAATGAAAAGCAATGTGAAGTAGTACATGATAATAAATTTTTTTAATTATTAATTAGAGAGAATAAAGTTTCCATCTTCCTTCTTCTACATTCTTGTCCAAGATTACTAGGATCCTACTAGGCATTTGTAATATTTAATTGAATATAGATTATTAAAATAATTGACATAAGACTCGTGAATCTTGTGAACTACAAATATATAAATGAAAAAAATGTTTTGTTCTCTTGAGCTTTAAGTTCATTACAAAAAAAAGAAAAAAAAGAATACAAGACTGTTACATTACGATTTATTGACAAATTATTTCTTTTATTTTATATTCGAGGAAAGATGCAAATTTTGTTGGGAATTCTCCAAAAGAACACCACATTTTGTTTCTATACCCATTGTGAGTGGTATCGTTTCTAGGGGAAAAATTTTGTGTCCTAAACTTCATCGACGACCGATTTTCTATCTAAATATTATCATAATTACGTGGCAATTTGTTATTTGAGGATTAACTTATTGTTTAAGTCAATAAAATTACAAAAAATTAATGTCTTAAATAACAAATTGCCATGTAGGGCGATTATCGATAGTGGACGACTATGAATAGCATTATTCTTAAATTAATCATGCTTAAATGACCCCGGTAATCTTGAAAGGACCAGTCTTTTAATTCGATAATAATAATTAATTTAAATATCAATTAAAACAACCAATATGATAATTTTTTGGGCCCCCCTCTTGTCAGGGGGTTGTATACGAGGTGTCAAACCCGATGTACACTTAGCAATGCTCTCATTTTTTTTTTTAAAGATTTCTATTTTCTTGTAGATATGCTAGTCTAGGATTTTACTTGGATCCTTCGTGGCGCAACCAATAATTTAATTGAGTATTAATTATCAAACACCACAATAAAAATTTTATTTTGCAATAGGCAAAAAACGTTGCGAAGAAACATTTTGTAACGTTTAGGCTTATGTTGTGGGACTTGATATTGTAATAAAGTTGAAGGATACGACAACGTTCAAAGACCGTTGCATTAGTGAGTGTTACCATTTTTTTTTGCTTTGCAACATTCATTGACAGTTACGAAAAACTTATTTGCAACATTTTCGGAATATTGTCTAAAATTTTGTATTTAAATTTTTGCAACGTTCACCGACTGTTGCGAAAAACTTATTTGCAACGTTTTTTTGAGTATTGTCTAAACTCATGATCTATAGTAGAAAATTGATATCTTGATCTATGAAATATCATGTTGACCCTATTAAAAAGGTAACATGTTCAATGTTGAAATACTATGTTGTTCTTTGATTTTATAAAAGCCATCATATTACACACTGTCAAAATCTCAATTATTAGTTGGATGGGCGAAATTGAAAACCTTTTTGGCTGTATGATAAAATATATGCTGCATGATTATGCAACTTGAGTACACTGTTTTTGAATTTTATGACAATTGGGTTAACGTGTTTGCATAAATTAATTATTTTCTCATAATCAATTATTTTCAAGAACATGTGTCAAAGTATTTGTTGTAGTGGGCTTTATTTGACATCTTTGAAAAATCTTTGGGTACAATTTTTTTTTAATTTTTTTTATTTCTCTTGAATCTCAGCTTTATATTATTATTTTGTGGTCTGTGGCTTTTGATTTTCAAGACAAGCAATGATCATACGTAGCTCATCTTAATCAACTATATAATTTTTTAGCGCATTTTCTTTTATTCAAAACATTACGTAATCTTTGAAGGATTGTACGATTCAACAAAATTACGTAGAGTAAACGCTACAGGTTGATTTCCGTACTTAACCATTTGATCAAACTAATATGTTTGGCTTGTGTTGTAAGTAGAATCGGGGTAACTCCAAATATCAATTATCTTGCTTGTTTGCAAGCTCGATATTGGTACACACTTTGTTTTAAGATCATTATAGAATTAATTATTTTAATAAAATTAATTGTAAATTTGAAGCGAGTCAAAACAAAGTAACAAACCATTTGTACAAGTACAAATGTCAATAGAATCGGGTTAACTTCATTTTTATAGAATTTTTATCATTAGAAAAATTTAAATATCGCCCCATTTTCTGCTTACGTGTTGTCTTTTCATACAAATTTCCAAGCTATACTTTTCAAAATGGCTAAGAACGTTGAACAATAAATTTTTTCACATGTCCTATTTTTACACTTAAATAATGTCTCTATCAAATTATTGAAAGAACAAGATGTGACATTAAGAAATTTGGCATGATTTGTTGGATACCAATCCAATGATTGCTTGATTTACTTTCTTTTTTATTTAGTAGTGATATAAGCCCCTGTTTGTTCTCATTTTTTATCTATAAAAATGAAAAATATGACCGTTATCCATCAAATCAGCCATCAATTTTGAATTTCTATTTCTTGTGTGGGCCCAATAACGGTTATATTTTTTATTTTCATTCTACAATTATGAGAATCAAACGGATCCTAAATCAGAAAAAATAGCATTGGACGACTCTATTTATTCGGGTTATAAGTGCTTAGGGGTGGACTCTAAAATTTTTTCTAGTGCGAGCGATAATAGTAAAAGTAAAAAAATAACAACATTATTCTAAAAATGAAATACATTACAATTGATCTTTGCAAGTTTTCTTTCTTTTGTATTTTTGTACAATTACTTCATTTCAAACTTTAAGAATATATATTTCTTCATATAAACAATAATGCTATCATTCATCCACTCATCTCCAATTTGATTGCGCAATCTATCTTTCACAATGTTCAAAATGTTAATCTTAAAACAAATTCCTACTTCTAAGAAGAAGCTCTACATTCCAAGCAGGGGCAGAGCGGGGGGGAGGGGTTCGGGGGCCCAAAATTTTTTGACAATTTTTTTTTAATTTAAAAATTTTATTTTTTGTATTTACCATTTTATTCTCAAATGAATAAAAAACTTAAACCCCATCAATCCAAAAATTTAAACTCGAAAGGAACGTTTGTAATAATGTATGATTTTGCCAAATTAAATATTAGTACTTTCTTTCTCCATCAAAAAGTACAAACTTCCTTCATTTTAATAGATAATGTTTCAAAAAAAAAATTTCGGGGGCACCCCCTCTCCCCCCAAAACTATGGGAGCCTCTATTTTGATGAGCTGACTCCACCCCTGCTTCCAAGTCTTTTGATGTTTACTGAACTTTCAAGATGAACTTTTCCGACTGAACATTTGGAATTATTACATCCCTCAATCAACCACTCTTGGAACACAGTTGACCTCAGTTAACCTCCCCATATCGAGAACTAAGCGCCTATGAACAAGAAAATCTGTTTGCTAGAAAATTTAAAATTAGAACTTAATAAATCATAAATAACACATTTTTTTTCTTAAGAGGGCTGCTTTTATATTCTTAAATGGGAAGAAATCACAAATCTGGTTTTAAGTTTCACTCATTCAAAAATCAGGTGTTAAGTTTAAAAAATGCAAAACTCAAGTATTTAGTTAATTAATTAAAAATATTTATTAATTAGGTCACAATTATACCATTAATGGTCACATATACATAATTATAGGTCACAATTTATTTATTGATCACATATTATCAAATTAATTAGTCAATGATGATTTTGAGGTCAGAAATTCAAAAAATTATAGGCCACAGTTAATTTTATTGGTCACATATTTTCAAATTTATTGATCACAGATTATTTTTTAGTCACATATTGTCAAATATTTAGGTCACATTAACCAAATAATTGATTACATACCACCGACACTACCACTTCAACCACTTTTGACCACCCTCACCTCGCCGTCGCCATCACCACCACGACCTCATGACAACTAGTACAAACACCACCATCTCAACAACCACCACCACCACACAAAACACTACCACCACCGTAGCATCCAACCGCACAACACACCACCACCACCGTTGCATCCAACCACATAAAACACAATTAGGATTTTAATATAGTACCTGATTTTTTAATATATAAATCGTAGACCTGATTTTTAAAAATCAATTCTGCTTCCAAGTCTTTTGATGTTTACTGAACTTTCAAGATGAACTTTTCCGACTGAACATTTGGAATTATTACATCCCTCAATCAACCACTCTTGGAACACAATTGACCTCAGTTAACCTCCCCATATCGAGAACTAAGCGCCTATGAATAAGAAAATCTGTTTGCTTGAAAATTTAAAATTAGAACGTAATAAATCATAAATAACACTTTTTTTTCTTAAGTGGGCTGCTTTTATATTCTTAAATGGGAAGAATTCACAAATCAGGTTTTAAGTTTCACCCATTCAAAAATCAGATATTAAGTTTAAAAAATGTAAAACTCCAGTATTTAGTTAATTAATTAAAAATATTTATTAATTAGGTCACAATTATCCCATTAATGGTCACATGTACACAATTATAGGTCACAATTTATTTATTGATCACATATTATCAAATTAATTAGTCAATGATGATTTCGAGGTCACAAATTCAAAAAATTATAGGCCACAGTTAATTTTATTGGTCACATATTTTTAAGTTTGTTGGTCACAGATTATTTTTTTTAGCCACATATTGTCAAATTTTTAGGTCACATTAACCAAATAATTGGTTACATACCACTGACACTACCACTTCAACCACTTTTGACCACCCTCACCCCGCTGTCGCCATCACCACCACGACCTCACGACAACCAATACAAACACCACCATCTCAACAACAACCACCACCACAACCGCACAACACACCACCACCACCACCGTCGCATCCAACCACATAAAATACCACCGCCGCCGGATGATTATCAACACCACCACCAACCACACTACTGTGCACAAAACACCACCACACCGTCGCTGCAGCAGCGTCGCGTTGTCGCGAACTGAGCAGTGTCATCGCCTGCCGTAGAGAGAGGCGAGGGAGAGAGGGGTAGGGGAGAAGGGAAGAGGATGGACGCGCGAGAGGAGGGGGNGGGGGGGGGGGGAAGGGATGACAGATAAATTATGTTATGAATTAAGATTTTAATATAGTACCTGATTTTTTAATAAATAAATTGCAGACTTAATTTTTAAAAATCAATTTTTAAACGCCTGATTTTTTGTAATTTCCCTTCTTTAATAAGGGTGTGACAGGCCTTCATTGGGACCGCCCCCTAGGTCTCTAAGGTATTTTCTAGTAAATTTTATCTTTAACCTTTCACGTTTGTAGCAAACTAATTCAAGTTGACTCTCTATTCTTGACTTGCAGCCTATGATGGCCGGTTTGAGGGTGAGACATGACATGCAACAACCCAGATGAGGTACCAATGCTTTTATGTTGTGAATCCAAGATTGCAGTAGTGGAGAAAATAAAATTCTAATATTCAAATTTTGACATCATCCATTTGAAAAGAATAAAATTTACTCAATTCTATGTTCACCTTTACGGTCTAGGATTTCCTTTGTTAAGTTGCAAAGAAAATTGAATAGGATGATTCAGTTCTTTTCATATTCCCTAATATTTCTAAACCAAATAATGTTTGTTTAAGAGTTCGAAAGAACTAGACGTGGCATTAAAAAATCTGGCATGCATAGTTGCCAGCTTTAGGTGTCAAAAGTATGGAGTAAAAAGTTTCATTGGTCACTGAACTTAACACATTGTCACGACATAGTCACTGAACTTAACTTTGCGGCTGAGAGGTCTGAACTTACCTTCCCGCCACTCAATCCATCACTCAGCAACCCAGCCGTTTGAAGACGTCCGACGTGGCAAGACGGAACTCCACCTGGCAACGGACGGCGTAACGGCGACCACGGTGTACGCGATTTCAGCTTCAAAACACGTTATTCTCCGTCAATTCAAAATCAATTTCCTCCTCTTCCATCCCCCAATCCTTCGAGCCCTAATTGGAATCGCAGCAACCCTGATTTCATCTCCCCCAACTCATCTTCATCTTCCAGAATTCAAGATTGGCTGAAAGTCGTCGTCCTCCAAGTAGCACCAGACCCAGGTGTTTGTTCGATTTCGGTCAGCGTCGAGTTCAGGCGTAAAGACCCGTCTTTCGGTCAGAGTCGAGTTCAGCCAATGTGCAATCGTTTGTAGTTGCCTTCACATTGAAAGGGAGTGTCGATTTCAACATGGAGGCAGCGGACGGAGGTAACGTTCCCACCCTTTAATTCATGAACTGCTTGTTACAAATTATTTTGGATGTCTGGTAAAGATCTCAATTTGGCCTTTTTCGTTTTTCTTTGACACTGGTGAATGTTGGTTTTGCATTTTTAGCTTCTAATTAGTAGCATGTCTGTTGTAGATTGTCTCCCCAATTAGAATTGATTTTCTTCTCGTTATAGTTGATTTTCAGCCTACCATTGATTTTCACTCAAATTTTGGAGAAAATCTCCAACAGACAGCCTACCATTGATTTTCACTCAAATTTTGGAGAAAATATCCAACAGACAACCTCTAAGGTTTTTGGTGGATTTTTACAGGTCATCAGGAAGACTCTGACTTCGTTCAGTCGGATGTTGATATGGTGTCCGATGAAGATGATATGTTGTATGATCGTAATGTGACGGAAGGCATTGAAATTGGTATGGATGACGTGAACACAGTGGGACAAGATGGAATAGTAATGCTTGGACGGGAGATGGATGATGGGAACACAGTTGATGACTTGGAATATCCATCATCTGAAGAGCTAAATTTGGAATGTTCATCGGACGAAGAGGGTGGGTACCGCTTCCCCGAATTTTTTGCTGAGACAGATATGAGGAATCCACAGTTAGAGGTTGGTCAACTTTTTAGATCAATGCAAGAGTTTAGATGCGCAGTGAGAACTTACGGTGCTTTGAACGGATATAATGTGAAGCTGAGGTGTAATGATAGGAAAAGAGCTCAAGGAGTTTGCAAATTGGGATGTACTTGGAGGATTTGGGCTTCGAAGTTGAACGAGACGGACACAGTGCAAGTGAAGTCTTACACGGCCGAACACACATGCACACAGAGCAAGTACAACAGACACTGCAACTACATCTTCTTGACACATCGATATATTGAACAATTTAAGGCAGATCCTGACTGGAAGACAAAGTCCATTTTGGCAACTGTGAAGGATGACCTGAAGACGGAGATTAGTAGAAATGTTGCTTGTAAGATGAGGCAATATGCCAAGAAAGTGTTGTTCGGTACCTTACATGAGCAATTTGGCCTTTTGAGGAGATACGCTGCGGAAGTTCATAGAACAAACCCAGGATCAACTATATTGATCAATATGCATGAACAAGTATTCAATGGAATATACATATGCTTCAGCGCCTGCAAAGCCGGGTTTAGGGATGGTTGTAGGAAAGTGATTGGAGTTGATGGGTGTCATTTGCGAGGTTGTTTCGGTGGTGTTATGTTAACGGCAGTTGGACAGGATGCTAATAATTGTATTTACCCGGTGGCTTATGCTGTTGTGGGAAAAGAGAATACAGAAACGTGGAGATGGTTCATGAAATACCTAGCAGAGGACATTCAAATGGAAAATGGACGCGGGTGGACATTGATGACGGATAGGCAAAAGGGACTTCAAAATGTATGTGACGAATTATTCCCGGAGGCTGAACATCGATTTTGTGTACGACACATGTACACAAACTTCTTCAACGCGGGCTTCAAGAGCAAAATTCTTAAGGATTTTGTTTGGCGGGCGGCAAAGTCGACTACCGTCTCTGAATTTAAGATGTGGATGCAAAAAGTTCGCGGAGTGAGTGATGCTGCATATGATTGGCTGATAAAGAGGCACCCTCAGGAGTGGAGTCAATCACATTTTGCAGTCCATTCGAAGAGCGACATTGTACTGAACAACGGATGTGAAGTGTTCAATAAGACGTTGCTGGATGACAGAGAGAAATTGATCTTGAACATGCTTACATCAGTACGAATGGCTTTCATGACAAGGATACAGAAAAGGCGAGACAAGATGGTCAGCTGCCAAGGTCGATTATGTAAGTTGGACGTCTGCAAAAGGCTGGGTTGCTGAGTGATGGATGGAGTGGCGGGTAGGTAAGGTCAGTGACCTCTCAGCCGCAAAGTTGTTCAGTGACTATGTCGTGACAATGTGTTTACTCCAAAAGTATGCTTTATTGCCAAAGCATAACACCCACTTTTGAAGTGGCTCGATATGACTCCCTCCTAACACAATCCAATTTTGTAAGGTAATACGGCGATCCACTTTCAAAAATGAAACTACGAATTTTAATTTTATTTATCCACCGCTAGTGTTACTTCCGTTTATCAGTTACATATTTCTCGTTTGTCATTCAATTAATGCATGTTTGATTTTGCTAAAAAAACAGTTTTTTAGTAGGATTTACTAAAAGGTAACGAAATATTTAGTTGATAAGATGATGAAAATTGTAAGTCCTATTAAATGTGCAATTAAAATTAATTATTAACTTTGACTCAAATTTTTATCACTTTTTAAGCAAAATCGAACAAAGGCTAGTATCATCACACGTCTCTTATATGTGTAAAACATAAATCACAATGAAATATAACTACTACAACAAATTATTAATATTGCCATCTCATTAAAAACACTCATCCAAAATATCTATACAGAATAATCAGTGAACTATAAAGTTACATTATATCAGAAGGTGGAGGTACATCAGGGTATGGATCCAGGGACTATAAACCTTTTTCTCCATCATATCTGATTCAAATTCTCAAGGTCAATGGAAGAAACACTAAAAGCACTTTCCCGGAAGGCACGTTCGCGTTCGTACTCAACTTGGCGATCAATGGCAAGAAAGCAGAGCTGATATGCCTGTGCAATGAACTCAAATCCTACATAACATCGCGTACATTTTGGATCAGTTATGTGATGAATACAATGAGTTATTAAACGGACACCTCCGAATAGTCGTCCCAAACTCAACAACTCTCTGAGGGTGGAGGATGACTGCACATATACCAAAACAAACACTAATAGCAGCAATTGCAAAGATAACAGTTCGAGAAATCAGAAATGTTTTCGTAAATAAGCGACCGCATGGCTTTCCCGGCTTTTCCTTTAGATTTAGGTTTGTGACCACCTCTCGACTCAAAAGAGGAACTGTTGCACTTTCTTCAAGAGGGGGCGAAATTATTCTGGCCTCCAACTTATCCTTCGCCGTCTTTTCCGAACCCTGCAAATTAAAAAATCATCTCGTTTATCATAAGATTAATTACAAATGAGTTGTCAAAGTTTAGTCATGAATTCGCTTGCCAATGTGCAATTTTTGCTAAGAACACAAGTAGAATTATTAAGAGGATTGAACTTCCAATTCGTATGAGTGTTACGAAGAAGAATATTTACCATAATAAAAAATGTCAAATGAGCGTGTGTAAATAAATGTGATCACGGCGCATACCAGTGTATGTCAAGCTCAGGTGTTGAAAAAACTAACTGATTAATATAATACAAGTAAAGGAAGTAAATTCAAATGATTGCCCAACAAAATAATATTTTGAAATAAACTTGTGTAGAATGGAAATGTGGCGTATGGTAAGAAGAAACTCAAAACAAATATAAATGATATTAATGTTCATGCAAAATGTTGGTTTCAAAAAAATTGAACAGCAATTTAACAAGTTGTTCTAGTGGTATAAAATCACGGGCACGTAGTTAGAATATATATCTGGACTACTAAAGTATCCCATTTGAATCTCCGGCATATCACATTTCAGACATATCCGACCAATTTAGACTTCACTAAGAGTTCACCTTTCCCCAGTAACGAACTTCAACACAAACTCAATGAAGAATATGTGACTTGAAGCAAAAGTTAGAACTTTATCCATCCGTTATATCGGTCACAATAAAATAAGAAATAAATAATTGGCACTACTGGTCAACCTATTGTCCAAGTAGCTAATTGGTCGCTAACCTTTTAAAAAGGTGCAAACTCATCTTCTACCTTTCATTGTAGTTGCACAGTCAATCTTCAACAATGGAAAGCTTCCAAACCTCCGTTAAATCACCACATAAGCCTCACGTGTTCAACTTTATGAAGCTAGTTTTTATTTCTCAACTTGGGCCGGTGTCTAGAAATTTGAAGGCAGGAATGTTTTCACAAGGGCCACATGTCAATTTAATGGAGATTTGGATGCTTTGTCTTTGAGGACTTATTGTGCAGCTATAATTAAAGTTTGACGACCAACTTCCTCCCTTAAAAGGTTGGAGACCAACTTGCTACCGGGGAAATCAGGGACCAATGCCAAAATTTTCCCACAAAATAATTTGATGCACAACATATGAAGTCCTCACCTGATTGGCAAATTGAACATCAATTGGAAGATCATTTTGGGAAGTTTGACTGGAATCATTTCCATCTGTCACATGCGTCACTGTGTAGTCTTTTTCCTGTAATTTCTGATGAAGTATATTTCTCGCATTATGCAAAATCTTCTGAAGTAGCATCATATCAGCATTAGGAACACCCATAACCAAATACTTATCTGTTACAGTTTTCATGTGGTACAGTACTCTGTCTAAAATGACTGTAGACTCCTTTTCTATCAAAAAGTCCAGTAAGTAGTTGATTCTTTGTATCTGAGCAGCCGTCAAATGAGGCTCTAACATGGGGTCCTTGAGTAACCATGCAACTTCCAACAAAAACTCGTAATATTCTGTCTGCCTTAAGGCATAAACTTCACCTGCCAATGTTGGAGCTGCAAACTGGTGGTCATCGGAGCAAAGAGAAGAGTCAAATTTTTGTTGCATAATCGCCATTTCTTCACAAATTGGTTTGTCCCCAATAAGAATTGGAATGAAGTTAGATAAGCCAGACTGATTCTCAACCTGCAAAAGAGAGATCCTCAATATGTGTGAAACAAAGTCAAACCACAACGAGTATCAGCACCATTCTTGCAACAGCTCTTATATCAATTTTATGTACGAGAATTCCTAGTTTTTCTAGGAGTGAAAAATATATCCCCCATTTGTTCCCTTCATTAAGAATTCTTGAAATCAACGAAGGCTTTTTTTGTTATAAAACTAGGAAAGGGACAGAAAAAGTAGAGCTCCACATTTGGTTCTCCAGAGACATGTAATACAGTTTTTGTTTTAAGTGCCAAGATGCAAAATATCTTAAAACTTCAGACTCACAGGGGACAAAAGATGTGACAAAATCAATTGAACACAAGGTCCCAGTGTCAGATTAGTATATGCATACAAATGTCAAAATTGCCGAAGCAAAGAAGTCAGATTTTTGAACAAATGCTTATCCTAGTACTTAATTGAACCAATACCAATACCCACTGTACAAGTCTACAAGAACATAAGAAGTGGGTAGAAGATGGTCATCACCTCAATAAACGCTGGGCCAAAAATATCTGGGTCAATTTGAGGGACATGTATCTTCAATAATTGATGGTCTAAACTGCTTCTGTCCCCTTCACTCTTGCAAGAAACCGATGAAATGCTAATATCATATGCCAGGTACCGGCCAGCAAAGGATACAAGAAACCTGACATGGGATGAAAAATTTACATAATACACTCCAGAAAGAAGATTGACCTACATGCTCATTCTAAGAAATGTTAGTAGAAAAATAAGGATTAAGGAAAATTGTACGTAGTTAAATTTGTTTTTCCAACAAAGTGCAAAACTTGATAAACAATAACTGCTATCAATCAACCACTTAAACTATGAAACAAACAATCATTTTCCTTGTCAAAATCTAGTCATTGTTATGCATAGATAATTAGAAACATATCCATTTTTATTGTTTTCACCATGAGCGTTCCCAATCAAGAGTTGAAGCAATGATATCTCTAAATATAGCACAAGACTGAGAGGCCTCACTGTGACCCCTTGAACAACCACATATCCCTTTTTGTACTTTGGTCCATCTACACCATCTTTTCCATGGTTTCATATCATTTCTCAAAACTCTAGCCCAATACAGTGTATCTAGGTTAGCTTGTCCTGTCAGCGATTTCACATCAGTATAATGCACGCATTTCTATTGCAAAGAAACAAATATCAAATTATCTCCACATATCAGTCCACTTTTATTTTTGTTTTCTATTTTTGGTTATAATGCAACAAGTAGCATGGTGTACCTTTTTCCTCTTCAACAAAATTATTCTAAAACTGCCTCGTCAACCAAACAGTACAAGTAGTGTGTGTAGAAAAGAGAATTAACAATGAGAAGTAAAGAGCTTGAAGTCAAAAATATTCTGACCACTAAGAATTAATAAAGAAAAGATCAGATAGTGACTAAACTTTCAGAAAGTAAATTTGCCGGTTGAATTATTGGTAAAGGCAGTACTATCATACCGAAATTTTGGTTGAAGTAGATTACTTCCACAGGCAACAAACTCTAAAGGCTTTCCAGCCTCAAAGCATGTTGGATGAATATAATGGATCTTTGGAGCTTGTCCCTTGACCTTGACTTTCACTACTGAAGCTCCATCTGTTGTCACATAGAATCTAACAACTGTTAAAAAGCTGACGTAAGTGTCCCCTATTAACAACAAAGAGAGAATCTTCAATAGCAATCAACTATGAACTTTTTCCTTCCTACCTACCTACTACCATAACAATAAAAATAGAAAAATAGTATGTACTTTCTTCATCTCCAGAATAAGGTTCCAAATTATTTTTTTGTTTTTATGAGAGGAACTCACATCACTCATTAGTTTCTCCTAATTCATTCTCAGGCCAAAATACTTTTTTTTTACTTTCCATATAGTATTAGAAAATATTAAATTTCCTCCTTATTCCTTCTCCATTACCAAACTAACCAATTATTAACTTTTTGCATGAGATGATTACTGGGTGTGAAGTCTTTATGGCAGCAATAGTGAGTGAAGAAAGTATTAAATCTTCTATATTTGATTTTTGTGTTATTCCATAAGCAATCAAAGGCTACAACTTACAAGCATTGAAGTGAGCTATGACCATCAACATACAAACCAAAGAATCTACTGCTAGTTCGCTAAAATAGATTTTCATTCTGAACACAAAAAGAAACAAATCATCTAACAGAAGAACCAGTGTTACCTTTGAGTAACATAAAGTAGTACTCCTAATAATATACCCTCAAAAGAAGCAGAAAAAAAAATTCTCTGTGGAAAATTGAAACACTAACATAGAGATATGCATATCTACATTGCTATTTATGTGAGATTGCCAGCTAACCTTTTGTAACACGAAATATCATGTCATTAAGATACACAAGCATTGTGCCTCTTCCAGATAACATGTTTCCAGGTGATACAACAAGGTCTTTTATACGTAAAGCAGACTCCTCCAATAACTGCGTAATGCAATGATATTGTATAATGAGACCATAAAAAAATTACTAGCACATATTTTAAATCTGCCTCATACACGAAGTACATGACATGCAAAGCAAAATATATATTATAGCAATTGTAATGGATTGATTCAATTAAATTTTCAAATTATACCTTCTGCTCTAATGAGCCTACACTGTTAAACATGTAAAGTAGCCATTTAGATATTAATCTTCTCCCATGGTGGGTCTACCACAGTAGCCACACAGCACCCTGAATCATTTTTTTTAACCTTTTGAGTATTGTTATTAATGATCAGCAAAATCTTAGCACAAATTTGTAGATTTACAATACAATAAGTGTTCAATAGATATTGGGTGACAAGGAAGATCTATAATACCTTAACCCACATAAACTTTGGCATTACAACAAAAGCAGTCAAAATTGTACAACCCGGACGGATATATCCTTCCAATTCAACGGGCATGCTAGCCAACCATTCAAATACCTGTAAGAACATGCACCCTTGTTTCAATCAAATACCACTATCTTTTACACAAATAACAAACTTCCTTCCTCACACACTAAACTGTAAAAAAAAAAAATGAATACTTGATGTCGAAGTTGCTGAGGAAACACTGCAGGGTTCCAATCGTAGAGCTTGAAGGAGATTCGACCAGTAGGACACTGCAACAAAGCATCAAAACAGAGCAAATTTTTTAAGTCAGATTCCAAATGAAATAGAATCACATCATGTGAGGCAGCAAATTGGCATTAAACCCACCAAAGAGGAGAAAACACTCTTGTTATCACGACTGGATGTGGAGTTTGTGTATTTTGGGTTCTCTTTATCCTCATCATTGTGAGTTTCAACAAAAGCTGCAGATAATACACTATCACTCAGGTTATTTTGGGAACCAAGAGCCAAGCCTAGTATTGATGCATGCCCTTCTGACTCCATCAAAATTTCCCTTTCTGGCATTGGACTGCTTGAGTGAATCATATCTGTGACATCCAGATATTTGCAAGGGTGGTCAGCTACTTCAATATTGTAAAATACTGCAAATGTGCCGGAAAAAACAGAGCAATACAACGAGTAGCAAGAATTTCCTGGTTGATAGTAGCTTTAACGATAGGTATTCTCAATGGACTCCACAAGTATAAAGCATATACAAAATATTCCTCTATTGCTGACATGTGAATGCAAAGGTAATACAAGAGAGGGAGTCAGACACATTTTCGCAGAGATGAGAACATAATCACAATGTTGATACAAGTACAGTACCTTTCCCAGTGTCATCATCGCCTCTGACATTATCAGCTAAGGCGACCTGTTTTGGTTCTGTCTCAAAACTACCTTTAGTATCATTGGGTTTTCTTCGGCGTCTGTTATTGTGACGTTCTAATTTTCTCCGACAACTCCGTTTTCCCTCATCAAAATCTGACAAAATATGAAACCTGCCAAAGGTAATAAAACAAAAGCAGATAGGATCCAATCAGGAGATTTTGTTGAAGAAATGCATCTGCAGTGCACTTCAAATGTGGAAATAAATAGCTCCAGGGCAACTTATCCACAGGAAAAATTTGAAAATATACACAATCATTTTTTCTGAATTCAGTGGAGGATGCCCATTTAAAACTATGCTTTATTGCCCTCAAAATTTCTTTTTGATAAACACTAAGGGGAACCATTGTCATAACACATTTTAAGATTACAAATATATCCCCAAATACCCTACGTAAGCTCAACCAAAGTCTTGATGTTTTCACAATTATTCTTTCCAATCTTTGGTGGCTACATTTGGCATCCATATCAATTTAACTTATAAAAGAGTCAGTTTCAAACATCTGTATTGTGGTCCTTGTGCATTTACACAACCATTTTCAACAAATCTCTACTTCAAGAACACTACAAATTTCGACCATGACCCCAAAAGTCCATAATGCACTCCATTATCAGCAACACCATACAATCTCAACGCACCAAAATCATATCCTTAGTTGCTCCCGAGCTAGCATGCACATGTACACATTTAAACCAGCCAACTAGAGACAGTGCGTACAGTCATGAACACGAGACAGTTAACAGTTACATATCAAAACCTACCATCCAATTTGCAACTCTCAATATATATCTTTCATTTTTTCCATATGCACAGGGAGAGGAACAAACTATGCCTATTCAGCTATTCTCAGATTTAAAGTCAGCTACATGACTAATTGAATTATCACAACGGTGCTATGTCACAAACTCATGTACTTAATTGTCTACACTCCCACATGGCCACACAAGCTTTTTCTTAATTGAATTAATCATAATGAGCTCATTAACTTCCCCTCATTTATAAAACTTGTATCACTATTAATTTCACGCGTAAAATGATCAAGCAATTAGATTAAAGTACAGAACCAGAATCCTAATTCCCAGAGAGAAAAAATACACGAATGCCTAGTATTTACATGATTCAATCCCATCAAATCTCGGAATTGTACCTTCGAGTGTCGAAAATTGATTAACATGAGCTATCTATAATTAGCCCCTCGTAGATAAAGCTAAATTCTTTATCAATTTAATAGTCAAAACACCACATATGCAGCAACCATTGATCTTAAATGAGCTTACTTTCCACACTGCTGACAATATCTCTTGCACTCCCCGTCAAGAACCACCGATCTCGCATTTGCACACCGCAAGCAAATTCTGTGCCTCTTATGATACCCTTTGAGCTCACTAATATCGGCTTTGCACTCCGGCACCTGACAACGAGCCGGCGCGCCACCACCGGAAACTCTACCGGACCGGACCCGTTTCTTCCCTGGGAGGACCCCGCCAGTCTCCTCCGCCTCCAGCTTCTCGTCTAGCTCCGGGCACGCGCAGGGGATCCGACCTGCCAAAAAGTTCGGGCAAACCAACCTCGGGTCCCTCTTCCTGACCCGACCCGAAATACCAGTCTCTTGACTTTGACCCTGTTCGACTTCAGTTTCAAGTACCAAATCTGGGAGCGGGATATTTTGTTGTGGGTCGGAGGGCTCAAAGGACAGATTTATACTATCATCAAGCTCGAAATCGAGAAAATCGGACCAGTCGAAAAGAGAAGAGGAGATGGGCTCATCAGGGAAATCATAGGCAATTGTGGAGGGCATTTCGGGGTCCTTCACCAGGTCAGTTGCAGTTGAAGGGTGTGGGTTGTCACGCATTTTTTTTTTTAGTATTGAGTTTTTGGGAAAAAATGAAGAGGCTTGAAGATTGGGGGCTATGGCGTCTTGAGGTGGACAAGGTGGTGGTGGTGGGCGGGATGGTAGTAGTGGTATTAGGTGGTTAAAGGACAACGAGTTTTTCTATTTCTTGTTCAACAAGAATGGTTGATGGAACATCACATTCTGCTAAATTTCTCTCTTTATTTTTCACTTTTTCTCTAATCCTTACAGGTAAAAATGGTGAAATATGTCAAATTTTACAAAGGGATGATCTTTCTACATTAGTACAAGTCCAGTCACTTTTCACCCGCACTGGAAATTTACTTGTTAATGTCAATTGGGCATTCTCATGGTCATATCAATTCATCGCCTCTTCTTCTCACTCTCCTCTATCAAAATTTAATTCTTAAGAATAAGCTTCTTCCTCTTTCAAATATCCGAATACATAGAAATGTTTGCCAGAAGGGAAAAAGAAGATGGAGGAGAGTCTAGCTGGTTGTAGATTGGCACTATACACAGAAAGTAGAGAATGAAGAGTAGCTTACGTTCCTTGGCTAAATTGTTGTCCCTTAACCCCCATACCGACCAATTTGTTTACATGGTACTGGTAAGAGTTTTATCTGCACATCACAGTCTGAGGAGAGGGGAGCTCGGTTTAGATTGGAATTGGATACACGAAAAGTATATGGTAATGGAAATTATTGTAATGAATGTGAAGACTTGTAAGAAATGCATAATGTATAATTTGATTTCCAATCCCAGAATCAAAAGCTGCTCACACTCATCTATGAATTCTTTGATACATTTCACACTAATTTGTCAAAGCACGAAGTAGTTCACAAATATTCGACTATGGAAGGAAAACTTGAGAGAATTCACTACACGGCAATTCCTTGTAATCTCTTCTGCATTTCCTTCCAACACTTCAACAGCTCCCATTTTCTTCATTTATTTCCCAAACTCTGAAAAAAGCATCGGGTTCTTGTAACTGTGTCATAATCCTAATAGATACTCGATTTGTAAGGACTATTGCTCCAGATTGAAATAGACCATTATTGTCGTTTATGATTGTTTAGTTAGTATCAAAAAATAAGATGTTGTCGAGTCCAGTCTAGAATCGTTTATGCAAAAATACAACTTGTTACCTGTTAAACTACAAGATCCATTAGGTCCAAACCATTGTTCTTAAATTGCTGTAAGAGAATTGTGAAATTTGTAGATGCAGATGGTAAGTCTGCTGTGGCTTCTGAAGCAATTGGAACCCTCCCATCTTTCCTCCCAGTGAAAACTTCCCACATTGGTCGTTGGAACTGTTGCATAAGGTCGAAAAAACATATTCATGAATCTTAGATAGTTTGCGTCTATATAATCACAGTACGCTACTTAGTGAATTCATCTCAGATAGTCTTAAGCACCAATGTAGATCGTGAAAACTTAGCAAAATGAAAAATGCTAGCTTCAATAAGGGTCACTTGACATATCTTTTACATTGAAGGTGAACTACTATGCATATGTACGTACTTTGCTTGTTTGCTGATTATTTTCTGTTATTATTATTGCTATCTAAAGTATATAATAAGGTTTAATTCGTAGCACTTACTTGGTAGGAAACTGCATCTCGAGCTGACAAAGCAACGATATCAGCACACGAGACAATGCCGGGGCATTCTTCTTCGAGTTTCATCTTTATATCGTCAATAACATCATAACCCGAGAGGGATCGGTTTGGAAGAGCTGATTTTTCAGCCGCTTAGCCTTGGTAGAGTCCAGCAGAACTGATGCATCACAACCCTGCAATGAACAATTTATTAAATTCATGATCAGTATTAATACTTGGGTTTCATATTAAAAGATCAACCATATTAAGATAATTAATTCAAACCTTTATAAGTTAGTCTATATTTTCATCGTTATACGATGTGAAATTTATTCCTTAATATGCACCCGCATGAGGGTAGCTTGTTTGAAACTTTGAGCATACCATTAAGGGAACATTACATGTATAAGATCTTAACTACCCACCATTTCATTTATAAGAAATAAGGTTCCATCTTTCAAAAATCAGATGATTAATATAATTTATTATATATTATTAAATTCAATTAATATACACCCCACTCACCCACCTTACCCCACGGTCCCCACCCCATTCATTACCAGATTTGAATTTTTAGAGACAGTCCTATCTCTCTATCTCCACTCTTCGCTATTGCAACAGCTCCGACAACGATGACTCTGACGATGACGTTGGCTACTGCCCGGTGATGACGTCAGAATGTTAGGGTGAATTTTTTTATTTTTTGTCGGTGTTGTGCAAATGATGGTGATAGTGGGATGTTGCAAGAATTCTGTGGTGGTTGTCCAATCTTTGACCGATGACTGTATATTTGCCCGTGATATTGATCCAATGGTCCGTGACCAATTCTATTGCGTCTGTAACCAGTTGACAATAATCTATTACCTATGAAATATGATCTGCGACTTGATAAATGTTGTCTATGACTTATGACATATGTACTATGGCCTCTACATTTGAATCCGTAACTCCTCATTATTGTACAAAGATATGTGACATTTGATTTGTGACTAGATCAGACCAGCTAAAATTGATCGGTACCCATTTAAATTAATTTGTGACTGTAAGATATGACACATCTATGAACTTGTGTAAATTAATGTGTGACCAGTAGCATCGCCACTCAATCCCCACCTACACAATCATCACCACCATCACTGCCAAAACTCTAGATCCAAAATGTGATTCATCCCAATACCTAAAACCCTAGATCTACCACAACATCAAGCACCACCACCATATCACCATTCACACAACAAATCTGGTCAGAAGAATAAAAACCCACCACAAACAATAAATCTGGTCGGAAAAAAAAGGTCAGCCACATGGCGGCGCAACACTGCCTCTTCTCATAATGGCACCAACGATAAGAAGATGGTGGAGGAGAAAGACAGTGTGGGGTGAGGATGGGAAGATTCCGGTAGAGAGATGGGGGAGGGTGCCTATAAAGAGAGAAGGGATAGAATGGAAATGTGTGAAATGAGATTAGGGCTTTGGGTAAAGTGGGATTGGTGTAGGGATGTCAACGAGTTGAGCCGAAAATTGAGTTCGACTCGAGTAAAAATGGTCCAAACTTTTCTTTTTTTTTATCCGAGCTGAACTATTGTTCAGCCAAAAAATCTAGGTTCGACCTGAGCTTTTGGCTTGGGGCAAACCAAGCCGACTCGCTTTTTTTCTTTTTTAAAAAAAAATTCGTGACAAATCTATCTTTTTTTCTAAAGAATTTAAAATTTGTGCAATTTGTGAAACTCAAAATTTAACCTCATATTTATAAAGAAAAAATATATCCATTTTAACCAAATTTGAAATTCAAATTTACGTATCTTATACTGTGCCATAAAGCTACATGCTGCTTTAAGGCTGCAACGTGTAGAAGGCAGCAGTAGTTGCTGCCTTAAAGCAGCTTTTTCCATGTGATTTTTTCTATTTTTATTTTTAAAGTGTTGCAGGGAGTTGGTTTTCTTTTCTTTTCTTTAAGGCTTGGCTCGTTATGACCCGAAAATGGCCCGTGTGGTTCGCCAAGTCACACGGGTTGACTTCGGCTCGAGCTGAAACCCCAAAATGGGCTCAACGAGTACCTAGGCTCGATTTCTTTGAGCCACAAGCCTGGCCAGCTGGTCGAGCCACGGGCTATTGGAGTCGACGAACTGAATTGACACCTCTAGGTTGGGGTTAGGGGTGGGTAGGTGTATTTTAATTTATTTAATTAATATTTAACGGATGAATCTGAATTTTGAAGGAAAAAACTTTAAATGTTAATTTCGAAATGTTGTCTCCAAACACGACCCTCTCGTAATTTCCACTATGATTAATCTTGAAATCTGCATGCTCATTTCTTAGTTTTAATCAGATTGAATTGTTAATTGGAGCTCAATGAGCTCTGATACCATATTAATACTTGGTTAAATTACATAAAACCAGACATTTAAGTTAACAAATTCAAAAATCAATCTAAGCTTTATTTATTCACAAATCAGGTCATAAATCAATTTTTTAATATTAAATAATAATACTCCAACCCCCACCCCCAGTGCACCCTATAATTTCAATTTCAATCCTCAAATCAATTCTTCCCATCCATTCTCTCAATTCCCCCCACCTCCATACCCGTCGATACTTTTTCTCTCTACCCACCATACTCTCTCGGGCCTCAAGTAGAGGTGGCGTCGACAGCACTCGAGGAGGTCACAAGAACCGCTGCTCTGAGGCACTCTACAACGGTAAACAAATCGGCTGTGCGCGTGGCGATCTAAGCTTCGACGAGGTGGCGCTCATGCTTTTAGGGCCAATTGAGGTGGCACTAGGCTAGTTAGCCATCTGGGCTTCACTTGAAAGTAGAACTGTGGCAGCAGGGGTTGTGTTTGTGTTTGTCTGGTTGTGTGTTTGAGTTTGGGTTTGATCTATAAGTGGAATGGTGAAGGTGTTAGTAGTGGAGGAGGGGTCGACGGCTTGACCAATTGTTTGAGTTTCAGTAGTAGTTAAAGTTTGGAGATGGTATTGGTGGTAGGTTTGGTTGCATGCCCATCCGGTTGAGTTTCAACAATAGGTAGAGTTGTGGAGATTGTGTTGGTGGTATGGTTAGTTGCCTTCTCTTCTCGGTCATTTGAGTTTCAGTAGGAGGGAGAGTTATTTGGATGGGGGTAATGGTGGTGGTTTGGGGGGTTTTCGCATTCCCAGTTGGAGTGGGGTGAGATGTTGAGCAATCGCGACCAATTATTTAGGTAATCGTAATTAATAAAATGGATCAATCGGGGGCTGCTCTATCCATCTTCTTTCTATTGATATTCTCTTTCTTTAAATACCACAATTCGACATTTTTTCTATCTCTATATACGAAAAGTAGATAGAATTAATTGTGGTGGTGGTCTACTGTGTGTGCCGATTTATTTGTGGTGACCTTTTGTGACCAAGTGCGACCTTCTTATCATATGGATTGGTTTCCCATTTTCTTATTATTCTGGATTTGGAGAAGGTATAACTTGGGTTGTAGGAAGCATTGACGGTACAAAAGGTGCAGTTTCATTCAATGCCCTTGGTTATTTGTGGTGACCTTATGTGATTAAGTATGTGTTTGATTGTGAACGATTGTGACCAATTTTGTGTTGATTGTGATCAATTGTGACTTGAGATTGGCCTAGTCACAGATAGTCACACTGAACACAAATTTGGTCACAATTAGTCACATTGAGTACACACTGTAAGTATTATGCTCTAGATCCAATCAACTTTGGATATAAAAACTTTGAATATATATATAATCAATGCATATGTATGACAATATCTATTATTTAATTGAATTAATATTTTAATAAATTAAATAATAGAATCCGTAGATTCATGTCTTGGTGATTTGTTAATCACAAGGAGTTGTGATTGTGAGATACAAATTACATATGATTGAATCTTAAATCGTCTGTGGTCGAAGTAATAACGAGATACGGATATCGTTATTACGGATAGACTATCGCGTGTGGCATTCTTACTTGTGAAATAAGTAGCTGATCTCACAAACTAAAGTGTGGTGACACTTGAATGAACACGTGGATGTTTTGTTATAGAACAAAACATTGGAGACCCGCTGAGAGATTCCACATGGATAACTATCTAAGTGTTAGTGGTTAATCTCTAACGTTCGGTAGTGGAATTGGTCCTTTGACTTGAGGTCATCATAGTACCTTATATGAGGGCAGACATACTTTGGTGATGTTGGATGTTGCTCTGTCAAGGGTCGCTAATACAGCATCGTTCGGGTATGTCAAGAATCATATGAAGGTTGTGAATGATCAATAGAGGATTCGTCACTCTTAGATAGTAAGAGATTATGATCTACATTTTATCCAGTTAAGTTAATAATGAAATCCTTGGCCAAGGTGAACTCATAAGTCGGAAAAGAGTTTTCGACGTACATTGACTTAACAGTGGGATAAAAGATATGATCGATAATTGAGATTGACACATATCCATATCTCATAATTGATCGGATCATATTGACGAAAGGATTATAGTTTCACGGTAAACGAACAAGTTTGGTTTTGTCATGCTACGTGATATTTCCCGTCACATGTATTGCCCTGATACATTGCTAGATGTCAATCTGGGACAACGAAAATGAATTAGTGATAAATTAAAAGGGGCGTTTTAATTTATCGATTTTGATTAGATCAAAATAATAATTCACGTCGTTCGGCATCGTGATCGGGAACCTAATGGGTCACACACAAAAGAGAATCAGAAGAATGAGATTTACCAATTAATTAATTGACAAGTGTTGGATAATTAATTAATTGGGTTGTTTATTAATAGGCCCGAATTAATTAATTGGATTAATTAATTCATGGACCAGATTTAATTAATTTGATTAATTAAATCTTGGACCGGGTTAAGTTTAATAGATGGGCCGAGCCCATCTGGACTTATATTAATAAGCTGTTAGGGTTTGAAAAACAGTAGAGAATTTCATTATTCTTGCTAGCACAAGAAAAGAAAACCCTAGCCGTCATTCTTATTCTCTGTGTGGATCACCATTGGAGGCTGGACAATTGGACAGCTTGGATTGCAGATCGTGATCATTGGAGTTCAAGAAAAAGCAAAAGAGTTTGTGGAATTCATCAAAGGTATCATTCTCATCACAGTTTCTATCTAAACGCATTGCAGATCCTCGTTTGGGAATTGAAAATTGTTTTATTTTCGCTGTGCATGTTAAGTAAATTCCCAACACAAACTTGGTCACAATTAGTCACGAATGACACGTGTCAGCGAATGGGGGTGGTGGTATGTGGATCCATGAGGTGCGGGTGTGATTTCCAATTTTTAGTTTTCTGAAAATTTTTAAGTTATCGGAGCGGCCGCCGGAACAGTTGTCGGAGGTGGAGGGAAGGTGGTGTATTGCAGTGATAGGATGGGGAAGATGAAGTGGCATTGGTAGAAATAATTAATATATATTATATTACATTTTAATATTTAATAAATTTATTTACCACCTGATTTTTGAAATATTTTAATGAGTTTGTTATTTATGAAATGTGATATTTAAAACTAGGAATTATGTATTATTTCCTTCATACTTCGAATTCCATCTTAAAAGATCGATATTTTTATGAAATGTGATATTTAAAACTAGGAATTATGTATTATTTCCTTAATACTTCGAATTCCATCTTAAAAGATCGATATTATTAAGAGGAGTAGTTCAAGTTCTTATATCTTGGTCTTTATTTCATATTTAACCGATGTGGAATTTATTCCTTAAAAATAGTAGGCCGTGTTAGTTATAATCTACACCTCCCTATTCTTAAATGTTCTACCAAGATCCCATCACTCTTAGGAACGTAATCTTCTAAGGGTCGCCTCAAAATATATCCAAACCACCTAAATCGTCAATCATAAAGTGTTTGTGCGCGTGTGTGGATTACAAATATGGATTAGAATATCATACCCTAACAAAGCAGTCATGATAATGAAGCCTTAATAATTTAGCTGCCAAGCTGGGATTTGGTGCAACTTTACTCCTCGTAATATCCTTCACAATGGCTTCTGCATAAGGGCAACTTTTATGGTAATACTTCATTTTGAGGTCATGACCTGCATTGCAAATTCCTACAGACAAAAGAAAAATAAGCGAAAAAGCAAAAGTGGGCTTCATTTGCTGTATATATCAAAAGCTAGATTTGACAGATTTGAGTGAGTTTCTGTCTGTTTAAGACAAAATTTATAGACATCAGATGAGAACAACACCCTTTATTCTTGGAAGTTTCTAAAGATTATTAACAGTTGAAATAATTTTCTTACTGAGTTTTTTAAATAAGTTATTTGACCAAAAAGAAAAAAGAAAAATGAATGATTCGTAAAGTCAACAGATTAAATAAGTAGTTCTAAACTATATTTCGACATAGCACACACTAACTTTAAGAATTATTTATTTTAGGGAAATTTAAATTAGTAAATGTAAAAATATAGTTGAGAAAAAAAATGCATAAATAATTAGATTTAAGGAGATTCTAAGCCCGAAGAATAGAGATGAACCGACGCAACAAAAATTTCATGACATGTCCAACATTTATACAAGTTCAATATGTAGTTCTTGGACAGTAACATTATACATGAACTCAACTTAATTTTCTTCTTTAATCGTGTCCGATATTGTATAACAAATGCTAATACTTGCAACTAATCTAAGTCATAAACAAGAATGGTGGACTCCCTTAATCACATTCATGAAGAAATACTTATACATTGGAGTGTACTTCTAACGACTTGGCTAATTTAGAACTAACGGATCAAAGGTGATAAATAAAAGGAATAAACTTGTAGTTTACAAATATCTGCCCACAACCACAAGGACGGCATCCGGAGTGTCAGGCAAATTTATTTATAAAAAAAAAAGGACAATGAAAAAAATCCTTATTTTCATTTAGTCACAAGAAGATGCTGGTTCTTCTTTTTTACCCATATAATTGTAGAACGTGTCCTAATTTAGACATCATCAACAGTAGAAATGAATTCCTACTCATAGTGAATAAAAGTTATCATGTCCATCACTAACGTAGCGTTGTCATGTCAGCGGTCAAATTTTTTGATAATTTAACGTTGAATTGTCAAAAATTGTAGGCTTGACCGTTGCCACATCAACAATTGACATGTTTTATTCAACACATCATGGATAGGAGATCATTTCTATTATGAGCAAAGAGACGATATCGACTAGCCAACACAAAGACACGTATTAATGCGTCCTATAAGTTAAAAGTACAAGCATAGACTTATGCATGCATCCATACCAGTGTCAATCGGACCTTGTTACATGTACATCAAGCCTTCTCCATCATGAACAAGCTTAAAACCAACGGGAAAACTCTCAAAGTATTCATAATCACTAAGTTCACTAAAGAAATTGGGATTCAAATTAATCTTCGAAATTCGAGTAAAATAAGCGGTCATTAACAGCATTTGTTTGCATGGGCGTGTTCTCCATTGCAGGACTCATAGAAAGACAAGAAAAATGTCCTTAACAATTCTACTTTAACTCAAAATTTGGAGTTTCTTATGAATTCGACAAGAAAACAGTACCAATTCTACTCCAAGTCAATAAATAAAATTAAGAGAGCCCTTTTACCTACAAATCACGTGTATTCTAGTTTCACACTTTATCCTTAATTCTATAATTTGATCAATGTCGAAAAATGTACAATGTACAGACAAACCGGCTAACATTTGTGATCTATACTGAAAAATGTGCTTTTAGTAGGAGAAATAATTTTAAAAAAAAATCATGTTTTTGAGTTTTTAGTACACGAATCCGTCGTATAAGACTATTTTTTTTTAAAATTTGTGTCACTTTATATTTTATTATTAAAATTTACAATCAACGAGTCACGGCAATTGAGAAAACATCCAACTAATAGTCATACTCGTGGAAAACAAATAAAGTAAATAATTCACTGACTTTTCCATCTTCTTTGTTTGTAAATCGTCTCTTCATATCATCTTAAATTCATGATCGAGTTCTTATACATTTTTTTTTTGGCCTAATGGTGTTGAGTTCTTTCACAAACACACCATATTCCAGATTTTCCACAACAAAAAAGATCTTAGTGCTTAAACAATATGAAGTGGGATAGAAACAAATTCAATTAAACGAGTAGAAGCAGGAAAATACTATGTTTATACCTAAACCTCATGAAACACAAACTTGAGGTTTTCCAGACAACTATAATATAAGTTAAAAGAATTAATCTAATTGTACAACGTCCAACGGTCCAAGTAGTACAATTTGGTTGACTTGCCATTGATCTCAAAAACAGTTTTTCAAATTAATGAATGTTATTCCATGTTGTCAACGAAGTTGTCAAATGAATTGTACAAGTAGTTAGTACTGTCCAATGACTCCAATCCAGGGCTCTCTTGATGTCTACCAGGAACCGAACCCAAGAACCTGTTTATGTCCATCTCTGGAATTCCAATGAGCTCCTGATATAGTCCTCCGCTCACGTCCGTCATATAGTCAACTGGATATTGGCTGTAAACATAACCTCCCATCCAATGATTTGGTGGAACAATGGGAATGGGAACTGGATTACAGTATGGAACTACATTCTGATGTTGGGGAATGGAGAAAGAATTATGAACATCCGCATTAAGGAGACTCTGATAATTATCGTTGATATAGGAATCAGCCAATACCATCTCGGATTTATAATGAGGTGAATTGTCTTCCGGTGCGACATGGATGGAGTCTTCTTGGTGACATGCACTTTCATCGGTGTTATTATCTGGTTCTTGAATCTGATCATCTCTTTTTCGCTTTCTATTCTCGTTCTTTCTGATCCTACACAGAACCCAATCGTCCAACTACAAGAAACAATTCAAGCAAAGAGGGGAAAAATATTTGTAATGTCGAAGTGCAAAAAAATTATTTAGACAGATAGATAGAAAGAAAGATTTACCTTCATGTCATCTGCACTTGATTTTTGCACTGGTGGCGGATTATTCACTGTATATTCATGCATAATCCAAGAGGTCTTATTTGGAGGTTTTCCTTCATAGTATACCAAAGTCTTTCGAGATCCAACATCTACACCATTGTGTTTGACTACAGTGTCAGCTCCTGATGCTTTCCAGAAGCCATCACCTGCTGCTCGATTTGGTCGTTTCCCATTTTTGTATTTTTTATTCCTCGGAGTAAAAAAGAACCACTCGTTCTCTCCACTTGACCTGTATTCATCTGCGAATCGAATAACATGAAGTAATATCATCGTTAGAAAGAAAGCTCCTTCTTAAAAGTAAAACTCGAGGACAATAGATGAATTTACCGGCAAGTATTTCAGGGTTGAACTCGTATAGATTAACAACGTTAATCTTGTTGCGAGGCAGCTCTTCTTTCATGATCTTTTTCATCAAGTAATGAACAATAAGTTCACCATGAGTAGGCTTAAAACGAAAACCAGCAGGCAAACTCCTGAAGTATTCATCATCGTTAAGTTGATTCTCCATTAAAGAACTCACGAACTTCAACAATTCTACTCAATGTAAAAATTTAATTTAGACTTTGTTATGGTATTTATAGAGCCCTTTTTCTTATGAATAACGTGTGTTATAGTTTAATTGAACTTCTCTCTCTTTCTTGGATATGTATTCTTAATATTATCGTACGTGAATTTTATTGGATAGACTCCTGTGTACCAATGAAATTCAAACACGTAAACATGTTTTAAACTGAAACTCTAATGCCCCTAGGATTTAAATCAGATTTTCAATAAATTTCGATAAAATTTGTGGTTAAAATTAATTGTTGACCTTGATTTGGATTAAAATTTAGATTTATCACTATCAAATAAGGGCTAAGAATAATTCTATTTTATCTGCAATACTTATGATCAACATCTAATGCGATAATGAATCATTACTACATTATTCGATAAATTAAAATACATTTCAATTTTAATAGAGAACATGGTAGCGATTTGTAAGTCGTGCTCACAAAAGACATTACAACTAAGCCACTTAAGCAAAAATTATAGTGATAAAAATAGTGGATACTACATCCGTTGCATTTTATTCTTCGGAAATTTTACAGCAATTATGAAAAAAAATATGGGAAAAAAATGTGATGATTTTTTCAGAAAAAATAAATATAGGGATTTATTGAAATAGAGCAAGCGGGTCTCGAATCTTTAGTTTATGACAACGTGGTCCTCAACCTTTTGGTTTGTAGCAGTTGGGTCCATATAGGCCATTACAAAATACACCATATTCCACATTTTTTTTTTTTTATGTTCTTCGTCTGCTGTTGCAAGTGAAATTTGAATCTTAAAATCATTATAATGTAAGACAAACTTTCTATTATAGATTGTTTAATATTTTATTGCGTTAACGGCTGCCCGTACTCATTCAAAATATTGGATTCGCTACTGCTTAGAACTACATACAAACGTACCAAATTGTTGACTTATATAATTTTTAAAAATGGTTTTAAATTTAATAATTTAGTAAATTTATTCTTACATTGTATGATTCATATCCAAGATTTATAAGAATTTACTATATTAATAATTCATTAACTTAGCCTAGTAATACACAATTAAGTGGTACATATAAGTAATAAATTTATTTATTTAAAATTTATATTTGTGGTTACAAATTTTTATAATATATTTTACACAATTTTTTTTAACACATTAATCAATGATGGATTTTCCCCATAAAAATTCGGTTGCTATGTTAATTTTGAAAAAGAAATTAAAAAATTAAATTTCAATAATATCCAATGAAATTCTTGATTTTCTTTTCTTTAATTCTAATTATCATCATGCTTGTATTTGTTTATTAAGCTTTATCACATAGCATCCATGTATATCCTTATTCAATTCAAATTTTATCTGTTTAGAGTTCTATTTTCCTTAAAATACTTAAGAAAACTTAAAACAAACTCCAAAATTTGACTTCGATTAAACTTGTAAACTCGGAGAAAACATCATTCAACACCATTCTTCATTAGGTCATTCTAGTAGTTCTGAGATGGAGAGCAACCCTAGACAAAACTGCTGCTGTTACATTCCCTATAGATGTTCCCGCAACTTCGTATACTGATGATGAATACTTTGGAAGTTATGATGATTATTTCTCATCAACGCTTACTAATGATGAATACTTTGCCAGTTTCCCTCCGGGTTTATGGCAACCGGGATTGACAAACAAATCAAATGCAACGATGAAATTATGGGATTTAAGAAGGCTTTGGTATTCTACAAGAAAAAACATCCAAAGGGTCTTGTGAAGAATTCTTGGGTTATGCAAGAATATCGACTGAATAATCTTCCACCCCGCCGACGAAAGGGTATATTTAATCTTTAAATTTTTTAAAAGAGTTCTTGAATTTTATTTATCTGCAACGTCGTCCAATGGAGTGTTTTCTTGTAGTTGGACGATTGGGTTTTGTGTAAGGTCTACAACAAAGAGGGCATATCGAACAACACTAGAAAACGATCAAAGACCAACAGAAATCAGGTTCAAGAACCAAATAAGAACAATGATCAAGCTGCAGCAGGGCAGGAAAAGAATGATCATACACAAATGTTCCTCCCTATCAGAATGCAGAGATATACGGTAATTTAGCTCCCATTACCATGGTGTCACCAATATATTCCACTCATGATCCAGTGTCGATGGAACAATATCATGAATTATCAGGAGTTCCAACGATGGACGAGAATAAATACTTGAATTTGGGACTTTAATTTGGAGATTATTTTATGAACATTCTATTAATCATTGTGTTTACCTTTTTTTTTTTTTGTCTATTTTAAATTAGCTATCGAATTTTTATTTTTGAATTATTCCATTTCTTTCATTGGATTGTCTTGTGAATTAATATAAATATTTGATCTTAAAAGTCTGTTAAATCATGAATCTTGAATATTACATTGATATTTTTATGTAAGTGAATTCTACTGAATCTTTAGTTTTTTGGGTTTTCTCTCCTACCTATTAGCAACTATATTGTTTAAAACTATATTGGTTTCTTTTGGGAGGCAAGTTCATTTATAAGAACAATTTAATACTGAATCAATGCCTTGTGATTTAGTAAATAATTTTTGAAGGAAAGATGAATACAAATTTGTATAGGCTTTTTTTTCAACTTTTGTCCCCACTTTATGTGGATTCAGGATTTCTCTTGGAAGAAAACTATCTGGTAATAATCTGCCGAATAACTTCTCCTGTCTCGCAGATAATCTAGTGACCATTGAGAAGACGAATCTGTCTTCTTCGTGGAAGTTTATTGTGATTTAGGTGATGGTTGGAGTTGTAGGACAAAGGCAAGGGTTGGTTTTAGCGAGGGGTTGTAGGGTTGTTGGCCTTAACATTTCAGACAATCATTTTGTTTGGCAAAGCATTAAGGATTGGCCGGAGATGGTGGTAGAGAAGAAGTAGAGACATGGTGGTGAATTATATTAAGACTTAAGGTTTCATTTTAATAGGTCCTTCTTTGTTAAGAAGAGTGGGACAAGTCCCTATACATTAGTCTAAATTTTTGTATTTAATCGATGTGGTATTTTTCATTTATCATCTCATCGCAATATGTTGGCTCATTTGAGTACACTACTCTTGAATCCGTGTGCTTGTTTGAGTTTTAGTTAGATCGAATTGTTCATTGAAACTTAATGGACTTTGATACATATTAAAATGCGAAATCGCATTTTTAAATGACAAACTTGTAAAAACACAATTCTTTATATGTTGATTGTTTATTTTATAGTCTTTCGATGTTGGGCTTATCCCTTAACATATTAGACGAGTTGAGGTGGAGAAGAAATGAGTATCTAATTTTTTAAGATGTCAGAGATGGTGGTGGATCAAAAGTTGGTGTAGCCAAAAAGAATAGAATAGTATAGTCGATTGTAAATCTGTTGAAGATTTTATACGTGCGTTGAGTAAGAAGAGAAAATAATGGAAAATTAGATAGAATTGAAGATCAAAAATAATTGAAGCAATGAGAAAATCGGGAATTCCATAAGCAATTTTAAGAAATTGTTCCACAGGCTAATAAAAAAAGCTTATTTGCAATCCAAAAAAGTAATAATAATAATAAAATAAAAATCAGAGGTACCTTGTCGGAACGGTCTCCAGAATTTCTGTTCAAGAGTCTGATTTTCTTCCTTTATCCTGCCATCGTTGCAGCTCCACGATCCCGCAACTGGGGTGGGTGGGGTAGAGAAGAAAATAACGTTTTAAAAGTTTGGAATTATGATTGACATACATAAAGGGTATAATTTACAAAAAAATAAAAGGTTCGGGATTGCAACAACAATTATTCCTTTTCGATTTTGACATTTTCTATTTTTTTAATGGTTAAACTAATAGAATTGGATGTTACGAGGGTTTTTCACACAAAATGTTTCAAACGTGGACATTTTCTGATATTTCCAATAGGTATGGTCGCACATCATCAAGTATGTATGGGTATTTTCTCAAAACAAAGAATGGACGTGCTTCGTATCAACGGGCTTGCATATTAAGTAATTAACAAAATCAAATATTTATGTTTACTGCCCAAGTTTTACCAAACGCTGCTCTCTTATTGCTCAAAGGTGGGCCGGGAAAAGAATACGAAAAGGAAAACAATTCCTGTCTTTCAGCAATACTGATAAGTTTGCCTTTTCACCTTTCAGTAAAGAAACTTTCTCCTCAGCTTTCAAGTGATCGTTAAATATTAAAAGCCTTCTGTCAACCCCGTAATTAATGGCAGGTAACTCTCTACACTTTGCTAATTGTACTAATTTGAATGTATGCGCACTTTTGTTAATTAATTGGGAAAATTACAACGTTCATTGTCAATTTATTGCCTCAATAATAAGTCGATTCTCAACTTTAAACAGGGAATCTCATACTTCTCATTATAGTTGCACAGTGAGTCCAGCTCGATGAAAAGCTTGAAGAGCCAGGTCTCACTCTACCGAACCGTTTTCGACCTAAGCAGCTCTTTTGCACCTTGTCTACAACATATATGATCAAAGTTGGAGATCCCATCTGAGGTCTAAATAATTTGGTCATTATTGTGTATTTGAAAACAATTTCCACTAGCAGACAAACATTCTCCTCTTTAAGCATGCCAACCACTAAGAATCCTTTATATTTTTTCATCACTCTCCAATAATATAACAAAATCCTTGGTGACACTATACTCCATATTGATACCTAATCATGCTCCTTTTTCCTCACTTCAATCGTACACCCACTCACAACTCACTCCTCTATAAAACTTTTCTGCTGACATTCATTACACTTTGCAAGAACTGCAATTGATTTCATCATCATTTACTACCGGAGAAAGACGAAAGAACATCCAATCATGATGGCTTTAATGGTTTCATCTTTACATTCTTTACCGTCTGATAAGATGATATCAGAGTCCTCTTCCATTTCTTCTGCACCTGCATTGCAGCCAAATCCACCACTGTCTCCAGATGTTTCTCCTCTTTTGCCTTCTCCTGGTGGGGTGGTGCCTTCTCCCACTGGATCATCTTTACCAACCATTCCCTCTGATTCTACTCAGAATCCCGACATGTCAAAACCCGTTGGACCGGATACCGCATTTGCACCTTCTGGGCTGTTGCAGGCAACCTCGACAGAGCCGAGATTACTAGTAACAGGGTTGAAACTTGGAACTTTTGTTGGATTCTTGGCTTATTGGTTATTTCTGGTTTTTATGATCTGAACTGGATTATCAGTACCAACCATTCTCTCCAGTGCTAGTTCTCAAGATCCCTTTATAATGAGACACCAATACCGTGGTTGCACCATGAGGTTATTGCAGTCTTCCTCGACCGAGTCGAGATATCTAGTGAAAGGGTTACTAGGAACTTTTGTTGGGTTCTTGGCTTATGGGTTAGTTCTGTTTTGGGAGAATTCAGTTTTATTACATCTTTGTTTGTATTTTAGTCTGCCTTTCTGAAATCATGTTAGTTTCCATTCTTTTATATGGCACTTATGTACATTAATCCTCTTTATTCCATCCAATTCATCTCGACTTTCACTTTGTTATAATCAAATGCTTTGTTGCACGCAATAGCAGTCAAATTCTTTGCAACTGCTACATTTCGTTCATAAATCAACTTTAGAATAAAAAATAAAAATAGCTGATTTAGATATTGCTTCGAGAACCTTGCACAACACTTCTCCGTCAGAAACGACAAGTAACAAGAAACAGTAATGCGAAAAATAAGCTATAAAGTGAAGAGTTTTCTACACAAATTAAAGATGCTTTGAAAAAGTTCATTAACTTAATGTGTAGGAGGCGTTCTTAGCTTTAACTATGCAGGAAATTATTAAAGTGAAAAGGGCAAAAAGCATAATCCTTTCCAGTTTATTTTGTCCTGACTTTGCTAATTTTTAATTATTTGGAGATTTTTCTAAGGTTAAGTGACATTGAAAGGCCATTTAATAAAGAGTTTGCTTTACAAGTGCACATGATTTCACCAGATGACTGTATATTGCACTACAGGAGAGTCAGTTCTTGAATTATATGTACGACTCTTTTCTCATACTTTTCTTTTTTCCTTTTTATTTGATTTTTTGTCCTTTTGGGTTGTGGGATTTCAAATATTAATTGGTGGCTAAGAGTGAGGATCTTTTATAATCGAGTGACAATTTTGATACCATATTTTGTGAGCACGCATTTCTTTAGAAGTGCGATCATCACAAATCAAAGTCAAACAATCAATATTAACCACATCTTTTATGTGTCTTACAATTTTTCAACCACACATTTCAAAAATTTCTATCACAATTTACTAAAAATCTAATTTTAATACCCACTTAACTTAAATTCAAGACTTGCTCAAACAAGAAAAAATAAATGCTGCTTATTTTGACACTAATCAACAAAATAAACTGTTTTTTAAATTACTCATTTACTTTTTAAGTAAAAATTATAAGCCACCGTGCCGAGCATGCATGCATGCAATATTTGTTCTTTGTGAACAAATAGCGGAAGCAGGCCAACACTTGTTCTTTGAATGTTCGTTCACATTGCCCTTATGAGGGAGGATCCTACATTGGCTTGACATTAGAAGATCTATCTCAACATTAGCTAGTGCGTTGAAGTGAATAAAAAAGGAGGCTCGTGGGACATCTTGACAAAGCAAAGCCAAGAGGATTGCACTCGCAAATACCGTTTACCACATTTGAATGACGAGGAATAGAATATCTTTGAAGATCTTAGAACACGCTTGAATAGCATTGTGAGACGAATTAAGATACACGAAAACAAAATTATGTTTTCTTTGTATCCGTGTGCCTTTTTGTTTGCCTGGATATGCCTGATATACTTGTACATGAATTTTGAACAATGGAATTTTACATGTACCAATTAAAATAAATAAATAAAGCGGGTTACATTTACCAATTAATAAAATAAATAAATAAAGCGGGTTATCATAAAGCATGTCAGTAAAGACCATTAGAAAACTTAAAAAGGTCATACAGGAAGGTAACTAAAGGCCTAAAAAGACGGTATCCAAAATGAATATGATTTACAACTAGTGGGGGCAAACGAGCCGGCTCGGCTCGTTGCCCACGAGCTCTCGTTATAAAACGGCGAGCTCGGCTCGGCCCACGAGCTCGTATTGCAGCTTGGCTCGAGCTCGCCTTTTTTGAATTTTTTTAACTATCCTTCTTTAAAAAAAAAAATAGACGAGCCGCTTGTCAAAAACGAGCCGAGCAGGCTCGCCCCGCCTACCGAGCCAGCCTGCTCGGCTCGTGCTTGGGCTCGTCAAAAGGCTCGTGGGCCACTACAGCACGAGCCGACGAGCCGCTCGGCTCGATTGTCACCACTATTTACAACCTTTTTAAACCACACATTATTATTGCGGTTTTAGTTTCAATCCTTCAGTTCTCTACTTGACTTTATCCCGGCTGACCCCATGTGTGCAAAACATGAATAAGACATGGCACAGCCCGCTGTGGGCTCGCCGAGCCACACTGGATTGAGCTGTTCAGGACCACATGGGCTCGTATTTTTAAAAAGACGAGAAATGAAACCTTATGCAACATGGCTGACCGCCTGTGTTAGAACAATGCCCGGGTTTGGCCAACTCTAAAATGGGTCCTGCAGGACCAGCAGCAGCTGGTTACACCTCTGGGTAGAGATATATAGCTATAGTTCTTGTCCTGAACTGTACTTCAAAAGAGAAAAGTCTTGCCACAAAATAAAAATGCAGTCGCAAATATACCGAAAATCTCTCCTTCAGCTCAATATCATAGAACACGAGAGAAATTTTATGCTATATTGTGCTTTGATTCAGGTCTAGCAGGAAAAAGAAATGAAGGTGTAACGACAGTAAAATCTAGTTCCTTGCAAGGAAATGAAACAGAGAGAAAAACTAGGTAAGTTTCCTCAAAACAAGTGCAAAAGGACGCTCTGTAATAGCATTAGCAGGCAATCGAACAAGGAAACAAAGATTCATAAATAAGTTAAATAACTTTCTTAGCAAACCTATGCGCTGGAATCTTTAACTTATATCTTCTCTTTGAGCTTCTCAATCATATCGGCTGCTTCTTGAACAGTGGTGATAGTTTGAGCACTTTCTTCTTCCACGCAGATCCCAAACTCCTCTTCAAGTCCCATGACAATCTCAACCTAAGTCGGAATGATCCAATAGCAACTCACATTAAGAAACAGTCAAGACAATGTAGTTATAACGGTAAAAAGAAGCATAAATACGGAAAATTTCATTTTTTACCCCAACTTTTAAAAATGAGCAAGATGGTTTGCAACCTTCAATTAAAGTTGCACCTCATCAACAGAACCATCCAAATCTTCGAATTCTTGCCTCAGTTCAAATTTCAAAAAGGAAGCTAAATCTAGCTTCATAAAGTTGGACATGAGAATGCCACAAAACGAATCTAACGGAGATTTGAACGGTTGGGATTGGTAGTGTAACTATAATCAAAGGTTGGGAACTTGCTACTGTGGCAAATGGTGCTATTTCCCGAAAAATACACATCTATTTCTTCCCACATACATTGGAGGAAAGTTAGACGTGCAGGAATATATTTAACAGCAAAACTAATACCGTATCGAGTGAATCAGCACCGAGTGATGCGAACTTGGACTCTCCAGTAATGGCTGAATCAGCAGGGAGAGCTAGTTGTTTCCTCACAATTTCAATAACTTTATCCGTTGTCTCAGGTTTTGCCTGCTCCAAAGAATCATCGAGAATTGTTAGTTAACTCAACTTCTTCTCTGATGAGATCGATCATCAAATGTCACATCAATAGCATCTTAAAAGATATAATGGATGGTAAATATTGTAAAAAAAATATAGTTAATTCACTTTCTGGTATCTCTTCATAAGAAAGATTTTGTAAAAGTCTGTGTAATTGTAAGCCAGAAAGTTAATTAGTAAATTGCAGATCTCTGATCAATTGACTGAGAAAAAGAGATTCCCGGTGCAACAATTTAACTGAAAGCCACATCTACAAGGATGCCAATCACCAAATTCATGTAAGGTTAGTATATATGATATTATGAGGTACTGCAGCATAATGAAGGAATTTTAATTCTATAATTACAGATGCCGATTAAAGGCTATACTAAGCTCCTTAACTCTCTAATGAGGTGTAAATATTCTAAACATATATAACTGTGATTGAAATCCAATTGGAATGCAATCGACTTGTATGCATGGTGAGATCAATCAACTTCTCAAAGAACTATGAGGGAGTCCCAGGTATTATAGTTTGTTATTTTTGTATTCTGGTTCATTTTTGAACAACACTATGCACTGCTCAAACTAACTGCATGAATCTATCTCATGCACAAATACAAAATCCCAAAGTTAACCATTTACAGAGCTCGCATTTAAACCCAACCATTTTGTAAACAACCTGTATTACTAGTATTATCATAATGAGCAGCCCGAGAAGAATCAAGCAGTACACAGAAAAAAAAAAGTGTTAAACTTTTGAAGACAATTTAAAACAGCTGTAAACAAAGCATACCGCACAGGCAACATGGAAACGGAGAGGGAATGGCTTGAAGCTTTTTCCACCGAAAGAAACTGAAACTGTCTTCAATTGCGAGACCTGCCCAAGTTCAAGACTACTTCATGAGAAATACCACAATGCATGTGCACACTATCATTAACTTTTTTGAAATTGTAACTAAAAATTGATTATACTGAAAATACCCTTGAAATACTTTCCAATTAAACAAATTCGTTTACACTGTACAAATGGAAAATCAGACCTGCTGAATCTTTTGAAAAGAGTAAGTGATGCAGTATCAATCTATAGAAATAAAATAAAATAAATAAAAAATAAAAAAATATTTATGCGCTGTTTGGATCGGATTAAAATCTGATTTTAATTTAAGTCAAGGTCAAACAATCAATATCAACCACATATTTCATAAGTACACATATTTTCAACTACACATTTCAAAAACTTCTATCACAATCAACTTAAAAACTGATTTTAATCTACATCAAAGACCCTCTTAGCCTTTGGCCTCAACTTTTTGTGAGAGACGGTTCAGAGTTAATCATTTAAAATCTTTAGCTGGAAATAAGAAAAATTCTACAAGCATATGGACAGAATTCGTAAGATCTTTACAAGTTCCATAAAACTCGGCACTAAAAAATAATAAATAATGCATATTTAAATGCATGCTCATATTTAAACCACTCCAGGTATAGGAGTATAAATTTAAAATTCAGACATATTTTTTTTACCAGAAAAGGGATTAGTACAGCTTAAAAGATTCTAATTTAAAATCGACAACTTCTGCTCTATCATTGAACATCAGATTTCTCATCACAAAATCAATAAATTGCAGAGATTCATACACCAGCTACACAGAATCAAGAAATGACAAAGACTACCAGAAAGATTTATGACCAAGATCCATAAGCATACAAGCAATTTCAAAAAAATCAAATTTTTAATCACATAAACAACAAATATACGGTAAGACTAAAGATGATAGTTATAAGGATCAACAAATGACAATTCTAGACTGACTATAAGAAAATTTATAATTAAGATCCATAATAAGCTTTAAAATACTTACTACCCATTTCGAAAAATCAAATCTTTAATCACAAAAACAAAAAAATAAAATTAAAATTAAACATAATCAACAAGGAAAGTACCTGGTTTTTCTTGAGAGATGAAGGGGCAGAGGAGAAAGAGACGGATGAAGCAGTAACAGAGGCCATTTGAGAGAGACTAATGGATCTGAAACAATGCGAACGGGAAAGTGAGGAAAGGAAGAAGAGGTGGCGGAGAACACGAAGAGTGTGATGTGTTTATTAGTATAGTTTGTGTAAGATAGAAAAAATGGGGAAGAAGTCTTGTAGTTTTATAGAACCTTGTTTGAGTTGTTGGTTTGTTGGTGTATTACTTGGTTTGTATCGAAATTTTGAGTGTTTGGGAGTAAATTATACAAAATTTTCTTGAAGTTTGTGGTACGAGTTGGCAACCCTCAAATATGGAGGTGTAAGATATATCGATCGATCTTTAGTTTTACGAAAAAAAAATTAAGACCATGTTTGGGAGGAATTAAATTTTTCTATAGTAAATCAATTCTCATTTTCAACCACACATTCTTCAATAAAATAATATTTTTCATCACATCAGTAACTTTTTGTTCTTTTTCAACCACACATTTCCCATCATATCTTTGAGAGAGACTAATGGATCTGAAAAAATGCGAACGGGAAAGTGAGGAAAGGAAGAAGAGGTGGCGGAGAACACGAAGAGTGTGATGTGTTTATTAGTATAGTTTGTGTAAGATAGAAAAAATGGAGAAGAAGTCTTGTAGTTTTATAGAACCTTGTTTGAGTTGTTGGTTTGTTGGTGTATTACTTGGTTTGTATCGAATTTTGAGTGTTTGGGAGTAAATTATACAAAATTTTCTTGAAGTTTGTGGTTCGAGTTGGCAACCCTCAAATATGGAGGTGTAAGATATATTGATCCATCTTTAGTTTTACGAAAAAAAAATTAAGATCATGTTTGGGAGGAATTAAATTTTCTATAGTAAATCAATTCTCATTTTCAACCACACATTCTTCAATAAAATAATATTTTCCATCACATCAACAATTTTTTCTTCTTTTTCAACCACACATTTCCCATCATATCACTATTCAAAATCAATTCTTCCCCCAAAAATCTCTCCCAAACAAGCTCTAAATTCTTGTTTGACAATCATTATTTGAAAACTTTTTTTTTCCTACGCACACATTTTCAATTACACATTAACACAACAAAAATATTTTAAACGTAAACTCAAATTTTTTTTAATCACACATTCTCCTAAAAATTACCATTCAAAATATTTTTTTTTTCTCAAATAATAGTTGTCAAACAAGAGCTAAATAGTTATTAGTCAAATTGGGTCTCGTTTTATTATTAGAAGTCATGTCTAATTTAGTTCATGTTGAGTTGTGTAAGATAAAGCAAGTTGTTATAGGTTGAGCCGGACCTCAATTTTCAATAGTTTGTGTCTTGATCCAATTTGTGACGAGTTAAATTGGGTAAAACGGTCAGTATAGGTCAAGTATGTCCTATTTTTAGAATGATCAAGTATGATCTTGTTCATTTTATATTATAGTTAAAATTAAATCGGAATTTGATATATTTTATCATTCTATTTCGTAATATTTTCTAAATTAATGTAATGGAATGGGCATTAACTTACAAAACTAAAAGGGTTTAGAAATATTTTGTGGTTTTCCTCTAAAATGAAGTCTTTCCTCTTATGGGATTAAAAAAAAAATTGCATTCCATTGCATTATTAGGAGTATAAGAACACAACTGGCCAAGGCTATTTGTCTTTGTATTCTTCATCAATTTTAAGAATTACCAATTAATGTTGATTTTTGCCAACTATATTTTGGGAGAAAGTGATTGACCAAACTGAAAGGACTTCATTGACTTATAAGGTGAAAATAACTCCCTTGGTTTAGATGTCAATTCCACCTTATAAGTGGTTGGCCTAAGTAAAGAGGTTGCACCTGTTCCATGGCTAATAAATTAGATGCCTGGCTACAAAAGGACTTCATTTTCAATATTTGAATTTTGAATCTTGTAAGAACATAATAAATTAATAGGGTTTCTTTATTTTCAAGATATTCACTCATATGACCGTTCGCGATGGATAATTGAACTGTTATCGTTGAAAAAAAAAGGTCGTTTTTTTTATCTTTTTTTGAAATCGTTGGTAATTATCTAGTCTAATTCATTTATAAATTTCTTCCCTTTGCTCCTAATAACCCTCCATTACCATGCCACTTTCCATTGAAAAAAATGAAAATTTGTAACCTACAAATGCTACCATGCACTTGCAAGAGATTCATTTAATGCTAATTAAATTTGTCAGGGTTTATTAAATTCATGTTGGGGTAAGAAAGGTTTGTAGGACCCTATATCAATGGAGATTATACACACGTTGTGTGTGTGAGAGGCAGAAGTTCAAATGCAATGTCTACTACTTTACTTGGCCTTTAGGGTTTGGGAAAATTGCATGATTGATTCCCAACTTATGGCTTTAATAGCAAGTCAATACTCAATCTTTAGAAAGGAATAAGTTTGTCCTCAAATGTACAGCTATCTCTGTAAATTGATATTGTCTAAGTCTCAGTTAGATCGATGTGTAGCCCTCATGCATACATTTTATGAATTTAAATTTTACTCCCCAATTTGAACATCGGTATGTATATTCGGAGTGAGATTTATTTTTTCACCAGGGCCACATTACAATTTAGTAAAAATTGATATAATCCGTATCATGGTGAATGATTGTGCAACTGCAATGAAATATATAGGAGCAATGTGATCCAAGGATCAACTTTCTTCTATGATGCAATTTTTCCTTGGTGGTTTCTTCTAGTATTAGTGTTCAAAAATGTTTGTAATGGTTTTAATAAGTAAATATGGAAAAAAGTGATTAAAAAAAGAATTTTTTATTTTTTGTCAAAACAAAGAATCAAATACACTTTAAGCACATTGATCAAGTCCTAGTTATTAAAATATTAATTAAATAATCTAGTTTTGATTAAAAATTAGTTGAAAACTCTAACCTTATTGATTGTCTAAAGAACATTGAGATCCACATAAAGATTGCTTCCTTTCTTGGTTTTATTAGCTGGGGGGCAGTTGTAATTTATTTATTTAATTAAGTTGATACTATGAATAAATCTAAACTCACTTTGTTGTTTAGAAAATTTATTTATTTTTCGTTCGAATAAAATTAAAAACACAAGACATATATGCTTTGTTGTTTATTTACTACATTATTATTTTTTTTTAAGTATAAGCCCCTGTTTGACACACATTCTTTCAAAATATATTATTTCATAACTCATTTTCAACCACACATTATTCAATAAAAAAATATTTTTCAACACATCAATAACTTTTCCTTACTTTTTAACCACATATTTCCCATCATATCACTATTTAAAATACATTATTTCCTCAATAATATCCATCAAACACATTTTAAATTCCAACTTTTTGAAAGACGAGAAAATAGTTAGTAAACTATTTGTTTAAATAAGGAAGTGTTCAATCATAATTAAAAGTTATATTTACAATTTATTTTCATTTTCAACAAATTTACAAATATAATCTCTCCATTATATAAATTTTCAAATTATGCAAATGTTTGTAATATTTGAATCCCAATTACTTATTAAGTCGGAAATTGGTACCCAACAATGTATTATCGCCTACTTCACCTTTACTCATCCCCTTTAGAGAAGGGAGGGGGTTACAGGGTTGAGAGTCGAGATGACTCAAGGGTTAAGAGGGAGGGATGACGAGGTTGAGGGAGAAAAAACATAGGTTAGCATTAGCGGCGGGATTGGCCCTGAGATTTTGAGTGTCGTGTGTGACATTTAAAAATGTTCCCTTTCATATAAAAATAATAATAATAAATTATTGGCACCAATAAAAAAAAAACTTAAAATAGTTCTCATGTCACGTAATAAAACTTATCCGTCTAGAATTTTAAAAAAAAACCACGAAATAGCAACTAACAAGTGGACAATCGACAACAATCAAATGACGACGTTACGATATAGAATGTACTATTGTAGAGCATGCATCAAAGACTGACTATAGAGTTTCTTCTCTTCTCTGTTTGACTATTTTTCGTGGATTAAAAGGATGAGAGAGAGGAAAATGGCGAAAAGGGGATTTTGGGCTTAGCTTTTCACTATTCTATTTAATCATTTGAATTTTTGAGCTATTTATTGTCTTGTTGAGTTAATAATTGGCTAATGAAGCTAATTATACATTTCAGATATGGCTGGTAAAATAGTTTGTTTAAAATTTTTATTTTTTTAAAGAAGGATAGTTTAAAATTAGAAAACATAAATTGTTTTTTTAATATGTTAAATTAAAAAAATATTAATGAAATACAATTTTTTCCTCTTTTATAATGAATATTATGCCCTTTAACTTAACATAATAATAAAAATTCAAAATTTTAAATATGTAATTATTCATATATACACACACATGGCAAAAAAAATTTTTTTTTTTTTTAATGCTCCTACAATATTGAGATCATGTGCGGTTGCTCAATTTGCTTACCCTCCTCAAGGCTACCTATGCTTATCGATGGAGGGAAATATATGATTTTTTTTCCCATTTGAGTAGCCAGCCATGCCTTTGAAATAGTATGTCGAGATGCGATATGTGATCATTATGTGTATTTAGGGATGCAAATGGGATGAACTAAGCTCGACTATTTTTTTAAAATTCAAAGCTCAACTCAGCTCGATCCTTTGAATTGTGGGCCTTAAGGATCAAGACGAGTCACCTACGGGACCACTTTTTTTTTCAAAAACAACTTAATAAAATAAGTTCGAGGCCCACAATCAGGCTCTTGATTTTACGAAAGTGGGCTCAATTCGATTCATAAATGGGGTACTTACAAAAATACCCTTAAAATTAGGGATGTTTTGAAAAATCATGTGAAAGGTTTTTAGGAAATAAAAAATACTGTGTAAAATAAAAAAGTGACACAATGTCACTTTTTTTATAAAAATTGTCACTTTTTTACACTTTTTTAAAAAAAAGTGACACTAAAAAAGTTATACAAACTCAAAAAAGTGACAAATACTTAAAAAGGTAACAAAACACCAATCAAAACATATGTTTGTTATATAAAAAGTGAGAAATTTTTAAAAAGTAACAAGTGATAAAAAGAGAAAAAATTCAAAAAAGTGGTATGAAAAAAAGTTACAAACACACAAAAAAGTAACACAGTATCACTTTTAAAAGTTGTGTCATCTTTCTATTAAATACATACAATTTATCTTTTATTAAAAATGATGTTTGTTACTAAAAAAGTGATAAAAAATTCAAAAAGGCGACTGAAAA